TGTCTATTTGACGGGGGTTATGACCGTTTTAGCGGCTTTTTATTGGGTTTTTTTATTTGGGGCTTGAACAAGCAATTAAAAAACCACCCGCATAACGGTGGAAGGTGCCAACTACTAATATCATTCTGATTAAAAATAGTTGATCAAGCCCAAAGAGAATAAATCACCTAATATGAATCCCCCCCCGACCTCTCCGCAAAAAGTGGATATTACCAGGCAGTAATTTGTTTGTATGAAATAATGCGGGAGATCCATTATGAGAGTTAGTGTAATGTCAAAAGCTCTGCTTGATGCATGTTTGAGATTAAGGGTGCAGCTTTTTTGATTTTCATAGGATTAGGGATTGTGGGGAAGCAAATCACTGTCTCTATCTCTCCCCGAAAACGGTCCGCCCCGGGAGAAACCAATCCGTTAGTAGAAAAGCCGGGAAAAAAGCAATCTATTCAGGTAACACTTTAATTGTAAGCGCTTTATAATCGAAGCAAGATTTAGAGAAAAGGAGGGATGAGTGGGATGTTGTTTACTTTTACCGAGATGGAATGGAGGTTTTTCAAGAAGAGGCAGATATGAACGGAAAGCAGTCATGTTGATCCACTGTACCATCTGGGTGCTTTCATTGCAGCAACAGCTTTAGGAACAGAAACATCCAATGCGGCAAATGCAACGCTAACAAAATGATGTGTTCCGGAAGAATACATCGGCAGGCAATCCTATTTACTCGCAGGAGGAAATATATTAAAGGTCGGGAACACGTATTATTGGTACGGAGTTAAGTACAGAGGAGCGGTCACGTACTATAACAATCCTAGCGCCAAAAACAGTGATACCGAATTTCAAGCTGTCACAGCATATTCCTCTACAAATTTGGTCAATTGGAAATACGAAGGGAACATTATCACAGGAGCGACGGACGGATCTACTTGGGATGTAGACTGGCTAGGTCGTCTTGGCGTGGTTTACAACACCAACACGAACAAGTACGTTTTGCTTACTCAGTATGCAGGGCCTGCTGGGGCAGGAACCGCGTTTGCGACAAGCAATACTCCAACCGGCCCTTTCACGTTCGATCATGTACAGACCGATTTTCCGAATGTAGTTAACAACATGCCGGGAGATCAAACTACTTTTGTAGGATGACAACGGCAAAGCTATCTAGTGTACAGTAATGCAAGCGGACGAAATAATGTATATGTGTCGGAGCTTAGACCTTCTGATTATCTGAACATTGAGCCTCCAACTGGCCATGATATCGAAGCACGTCCGGTGGTCGTGAAGGAAATGCGATGTTCAAAAATAATGGACGATACTATATCTGCTCCTCGGACCTGCATGGGTGGAATGCTTCGAAATCGTATTGCATCTCATCCACTTCCATTATGGGACCGTATTCTGCAGAAGAGGTAATGATTAACTCGGGCCTAGGCCCACTCCACCGACGCAAACCGGTTTTTTTTTATTAACGTGCAGGGAAGTGCAGGATCAACCATCTTGTTTGCAGGAGATCGCTGGAGTGATTTCGCGGGTAATGGTCTTGGATATAACCAGTGGATGCCACTTACATTCAATGGAACGACCCTGTACGGTATTCGTTAAGCCAGTTTAACCTGGATGCTGCTACTGGAACCTGGAGTGTTGCTAACGGCAACAACTACGTGTTGAATCCAAGCTATGAAGCAGACCGGATTACATTAAATACACTTACCGGTTGGAAAAACTGGAAGAACACCTCTGTCGATCCGAATTCTAATATTTCCCCTGGACGAACTGGAAGATTTTCAATGTCTCAGTGGAGTGATTCTGCTTACAGCGCAAGTATGTATCAAGATATCGGCTTACCTAACGGAACTTACACACTTAAAGCGTGGGTCAAAAGCGGGGGAGGACAATCTGTAGCGCAGATCTATGTGAAAAACTTCGGTGGAGCAGAGAAGAATGTGCCAATTAATACATCGCTTAATTCGTGGACAGAGATCACAATCTCCGATATTGCAGTTACAAATGGAAAAGCTCAAATCGGTGTATATAGCGTAGCGAATGCAGGTAATTGGCTGAGAGCGACACTGGTCGCTCGCCGTCAAAAACTTAGATGCCATGGTTTAACGAGGTAAAAAATCAAAATGTTGGCGCAATCCGACGCTCGTTTCTCTTCGCTTGGGTTGTGCCAGTTTATAATGAGAAAAATAGCATCTTCTTCAACATAAGGTCAATTTATTTTTCATTTTACAAGCAATTTATGCTGAACTATAATGGCTACATAAAAACTTTGTGAGGGTGCTAAATGTGATTTCTCTTGAAATTGTTAATCTTGGATGACGAAACACGGACAAGAGAGTCGCTCCGTAATTACGTCTCATGGGACTCCATTGGTATATCTGATGTAGTAACGGCCCGAAATGGTGTACAAGCGTTAGAGGTGGCCTCTACTCTGAAGCCAGATGTGATTGTATGTGACATTCGTATGCCCAAGCTGAATGGAATAGAATTCGCAAAACAATATCGTGCGGTGGACGCGACTTGTCCAGTGATCTTTTTGAGTGGTTTTGCGGATCGTGAGTATCTAAAATCAGCGATCGATTTGAAAGCGTTTGCACCTTTCTTTATAAGCCAGTTAATCTTGATGAAGCGAAGGAAACAGTGCAGCCAGCTACAGAATCGCGCTTAGAGGAAGCGCACAAACAGAAATTACAGCAAGCGCTCCGCGACAGCTTTGACCGAAGTCTTCCGTTTCTTCGTCAGGAAATGGTACGTAAACTGATCACGAAACCAGATTCCCAGAGCGTTTTTCCCGCATTACAAAGCCAAGAGACCTTCTTGCTTCCACCTGAAGGACCTTATACCGTTGCTGGGCAGAAACATATTGGCAATCAATCTCCGCAAGAGAGGAATTATCTATTAAACAGGATACTCTGTTGGAAGCCATTTGTCAGAATTTGTACTGCAGTGAACATTCCGTGATTGCGGGGTTTTCGATTCAGTGAACAGGTTGGTGTGCGCAATACCCGGATCGCCATGGAAGCACCTACCTAGACGGTCGGGCAACGCTGGATAACGGCATACCGGAGATGCGAAGCCTGCCCCGAAAACAAGCGGAACTCCGTTTTGGCGTAGGAGCCACTGCTTTGGAACTCGTCGATCTTCCTGTTTCATATCAAATAGCGTGGTTGTGCAGCTCTTGCCATTACTATAATCAGACCTCTTCTCTTATATTCGAACAATTGCTCGGTGTGCACAGACCCATTGAAACAAATTGGGAAGAGGGTACGACTCTAAGAGATCAGGTCAGGCGAGGTCATAATGATGAAGCGATCCAAACCATTCAGCGTTGGACCGTATATGCTAGGCAACAGATGGATCTCGACATATCTTGGTTTCAAGGACACTTCACCCAATTCCCCAGGTATCGATGTTGAAGCAGCATTCAGCTCGGCGTCGTTCAGATTTCAGGCAGTACTGAGCGGAAATATGTGTGGAAAGAGATAGAACGTATGTCAAGTTTGAATGCATTAGAGAGCTATGTGGTTTCGTTTATTAAAGAGGTCGTAGCTAACCCTCACGGAAGTTCTACACCTGGTAGCGGGAAAATGCGCGAAATCAAACGTTATGTACATTCTCATTTTCACGAGAAAGGATTTACTATTCGAACTGTAGCGGAACATGTACAACTAAGCGAAACGTATTTATGTGCATTTTTCAAAAAACAGAGCCAACAAACCTTGAAAGAATACATTACGGAAACGAGAATGAACAGAGCAAAAGAGTTATTAAAAGATCCGAACGTGAAGTTGTTTGAAGTATCTTCCAGAATTGGTATATCGGATTCGAACTATTTTACGACTTTCTTCAAACGAAACGCAGGTTGTACTCCGTCTGAGTACCGTGAAAGGATGATCCCATGAGGCGTTTGACCCGAAATTTTCGAAATCAGGGCATACGCTCAAAGCTGTTTGCCTCCTATGTCATCGTCATTTCGATCCCTTTCATTCTTCTCCTTGCAATCCACATCTCTGTGACACAACAGGAAAATAAAGATGCTGCTATTTATTCATCTCAGAAGATGCTTGCGGAAACTGCAGCATATATACAATACAAATCAGAAAATATTGAGGAGGTTATGAACTCTATCGCATTAAATGAGCAAATTCAGCAAGCTGTTCTCAGCCCTTCGGATCCTTTTCAAAATGTAAATGCATGGCACATGGAATCTCTGAGACTTGCAAGGATTATTAAGCAGTCTCGATATACGAATGATATCAATCAAATACAAATCTTTATGAAAGAAGGGCTCGCATCAGCTACGGAAAGCCCTGATTATTTGCGATTATCTCGTATCACTAACGAAACATGGTTTTTAAAGTTTTCCCAATCACATGCCATTTTCATATGGCTTCCTTCCTTACAGATTTTGCCGAATACTCCTCAAGGTGAGCTAACGGTACTTCGAAAATTGCCTAATGAACATAATGTTCGCGATACGGATGCAATATTGAGCGCTTCGATCGCCCCACGAACTATGCAATCCGTCCTCAATTGATGCAGCGCTAACGCCAAATGCGTCAGCGCTTTTGTTTAATGATGGAGGAGCATTATTAAGCCGGACAGACAACGCTTATTTTTCCAAAGAAGTATTAGAACAATTGCATTTTTTGGTTGAGAATAACGGCAATGAAATGACCTATTACAACACTAATTACGTTTTGAATCAAGAACGGTATCTGGTTGGTATAAAAGCCATCCCGCATACTGATATGAGGATAGTTCTCCTTATCCCTTACAAGGATATTCTCGAAACAACTCTCAAAGCTCGCAACCGGATTATTTCAATTTTTCTGATTGTTGTACCATTAATGATTCCCGTTTCGCTCATCGTGGCTGGCTCTGCGACCAAGCGGATACGGCAATTGATTATCCATGTCCGCAAAATTAGGCGGGGGCAATTTCATCCGCTCCCTTGGTCAACTAAACCAGATGAGATTGCAGAGTTAACAAATAGTTTCAATATCATGGTGCATGATATTTCTCAATTAATCGAAGATAAATATATGCTGAGCCGTGAGGTCAAACACAAGGAGCTCCTGGCTTTGCAAGCTCAGATCAATCCGCATTTTCTATACAATACATTGGAATTGATTAATGCGATGGCTATCGAAAGTAATGCACCTGAAATTCAGCGTGTCGTCGATGAACTGGCTGTGTTTTATAGAATCAGCTTATCGAATGGGCAAGAATTTGTAAGACTAGAAAATGAGCTTAAGCATATTGAGGCTTATGTTCGAATTCAAAATATGCGCTTTGGCAATAACATTCGTCTGAGTTGGAAGTTTCAAAAGAATTTTATGATTACAAGCTTCCCAGAATTATATTGCAACCTTTAGTAGAAAACGCGATTTTACACGGAATTATGGAGAAGGATGACGAGGAAGGTTGCATACGTGTAACAGCACGGAGAGAAGAAGAGGATGTCGTGATCGAGGTGACGGACGATGGCGTTGGCATGGATGTAGAAACCGTAGTTTTATTAATGCATCAGGACAACATCTATAAAGAAACAGGAGGCTACGGGATACGAAACGTTGAAGAACGATTGAAGCTCAGCTATGGGAATATCTACGGTATGACATTCAAAAGCGAACTGGGAAAGGGGACCAGTATACAGATTAGGCTGCCAAAATCGCATATTGGAACAAGGTGAGTGACGTCAAGCGGAACGATGAGACGTTGCCGTAACCCATGGTTGATGGGGGGCTAGCCCCCATAATTTTCACATAAGGATATAAAAGACTTAAACGTAAGATATACAAGAAATTCGTAGGTTATTTACGTACGAACCCTGCCTGGAGGCCCTATATGATGGCCCTATTGGAAGAGAGATTTAAGGAGGTTCCGTCACGAAGGACATCCGTTTTAAACTGGATGCTTTATCTTATGTTTCTCCCTGTTTTTATTTATTTCATTGTATTTGCTTACATTCCCATTGCCGGTATGGTAATGGCTTTCCAATCGCATTCACGCAATTGGAGGTATATTCTTTAGCGATTGGATCGGACTAGACAATTTTCGTTATTTTTTTGACTCAGGCAAAGCATGGATTGTCACACGCAATACGCTTGTATATAACGCTATTTTTCTTACCTGTTATATGTTTTTTTCTATTATTACAGCCCTTTTGATCACAGAAGTAAGAAACAGATGGTTTAAGCGAAGTGCACAGACATTGCTGTTTCTGCCTTACTTTATCTCGTGGGTAACAGTATCGGCATTTGTGTATAATTTCCTCAACTATGAATATGGCATTATTAATAAAATCCTGATTTATCTCCATCTTGACGCCATCGATATTTATTCCAATGCAAGTTCTTGGTACTTCATTTTGCCATTCCTGTATGTCTGGAAATGGGGAGGCGTATCGGAGTGTCCTCTATGTCGCGTCATCATGGGAATTGATCAGGAAATTTATGAGGCAGCAAAAAATAGACGGAGCCAGCCGCATGCAGCGAATCACAAAAATAACCCTGCCTTTACTGACACCAACGATGATCATTTTGGTTCTGCTGGGTCTGGGAAGGATTATGCGTGGGGAATTTGATATGTTCTATCAATTGATTGGCAACAATGGCTTGCTGATGGATGCTACAGACATCATCGATACACTCGCATTCCGTTCACTACTGGTGCAGCAGATTACGGTATGGGTTTCGTCTGTGGGTCTACCAATCGGTATTAACTCTGTTATTATCTTAATTGACAAACTATCTCAGTCCGTAGGTATGATCGGGACCGTGCGCTGTTTTAGCTCTGAAAATCATAAAGAAGGTGACGAAAATGAGCCGAAAAAGCTATGTGACCAAGCTTGATGCCTCACCAGTGTTCACGTTTGTTTCTTACACAATCATGACTCTGATTGCTGTGATATGTGTGCTTCCATTTGTCGTTTTGATTGCTGGGGCCTTTTCTTTGGAAGAGTTCGGTTTTGCGCGCAGGGTATTGGTTTCCTGGCCACGGGACTTTTCGTTCGACGCGTTCAAGTACATTTTTCAATATCCGGAAAATGTGTTATCTGCGTATAAGGTGTCTGTCATTGTAACAGTGATTGGCACCACGTTATCGCTGCTCTTGTCAACGCTCGCAGCATACGTCATTAGTCGAAAAGAACTGAAGCATCGCAACAAATTGGCGTTCTTTTTGTTCTTCACCACACTGTTCAACGGAGGTCTGGCACCTTATTATATCTGGATAACCAACAATTTGAAATTGAGCAACACCTATGCTGTGCTTATTTTTGGTTCCGATGTTAATGTAATGTATATTTTGATCCTTCGCAGCTTTATTAAAGAATCGGTTCCCGAACCATTGGTCGAGTCTGCCAAAATGGATGGGGCGGGGGATCTGCGCATCTTTTTCCAAATGGTGTTACCTTTGCTGAAACCGGCCTTGGCCTCAATTGGAATTTTCACAGTGCTAGCATACTGGAACGATTGGTGGACGCCCATGATGTTTACAACCAAAGATCATCTGGTTCCGCTACAGTATCTTCTCTATAAAATGCTCTCCTCCACAACCTTCGGCGGCTATGTCCCAGTATGTTTCCAATGTTGATGCGCCGAAAGAAACGTTTAAGCTGGCTATGACCGTCATTGCTACCGGGCCAATTTTGCTCGTGTTCCCTTTTGACCAGAAATACTTTGTGAGCGGGATCACCATTGGTTCCGTCAAAGGATAATACTCATTCCGTTTGTATTCGGAATTCGTAGATACAATATAGTTATAACCAAGGGGAGGTTTTAATTGTGAATGAGATGAAAAGAAACGTCCGAGTGGTCATCTCGCTTATGATTCTGATAACACTTGTCATTGCCGGTTGCAGCAGTAAAGACGAGGTGAGGGAGCCATGGAGATGGAGCTACTGGCCTGGTAACAACACTAAGGAAGTAAAGTTGTACGGCTATTTGCTTGGGGATGCACCAAAAGGAATGCCTGATGTATTGGCCGCGTTGAACGAAAAGCTAAAGAAGGACATTAACGCTACTGTAGAATTAAACTACATTAGTTGGGGCGATCTGGCATCTAAATATCCTCTCATATTGGCCTCAGGGCAGGATGTGGATTTCATCTTCACGGCAGATTGGAACTTCTATGTTCCCGAAAGCAACAAAGGCTCTTTCATGGAATTGAATCCAGAATTGATCCAAAAATATATGCCCCGCTATTATGCAAAGCAGGATTCAGCAGCGTATGAAGCTGCAAAAGTTAATGGAAAGCAATATATGATCCCCACCACGACTCCAGACCGAAAGGTCGCTGTCATGGTTCTTCACAAAGATATTATGACTGCGGCAGGGGTGAACCAACCAAGCAAACTATCTGACCTGGAACCATACTTTGCTGAAATCAAAAAGAATCATCCAAACATGACCCCGCTTAATTTGGACTCTCAGTATGATCTGCCAGCACCGTTTGGCGCGCTGGTCAGCGAGAAATTTGCGTACGGCGGTGCGCCAATGGATACAGGAGATCCGTCAGCTACAGGGAATTATTCTGACCAAGAGGATCCTTCTGGCAAGATCCTGAGCATCACTGATGAGCCTGTTAAAAGTGCTTTTACGTATGCAGCCGAGACAATGAAAAGGTGGTATGATGCCGGTTATATTAACAAGAATCCGTACGCTAACAAAATTCGTTCCAAAGATAATTTCTGCGAAGGTAAGGCCGGGGTAGCTTTCGGAAATTCAATAGATATTCAAGCTACACTAAGTACATGTTCAGACAAAGGCATAGAAACATACATTTTTCCAGTCCTTTCCCCATCAGGACATGCAACGACTAGCAGCTGGCTGAATAATGGCGTAGCGATTGCGGCGAACTCAAAAAATGTAGAGCGGACACTGCAGGCGTTAGATCTGATTATGGAGGATGAGTCTTACGCATACACGGTCTACTATGGAATTGAAGGTAAGAATTATATCATCCAAAATGATAAAATTGCGTTGCCTGATGGAGTAACAACTGCCGATAATTCCTATCCACCGGATTCTGGAGGATTTTGGTTCGTGGATAAAGACTTTTTCAAACCTAGTGCAAGTTGGACGGATTCCTATGTAGAGTTAAATCAAAAAATTAAGGATTACTTGCAACCACCGACATATTTGGGATTCACATTTAACTCTGAAAATGTAAAGACGGAAATTGCCAACTTGAAAAACGTCTCACCCAATATTATCTTCCTTGACGATCGGCACCGTGCCTGACGTAAACGCTGCGTTTGTTGCACTGGTTGATAACATGAAATCAGCGGGTGTTGACCGAGTGAAGGAGGAACTTGAAAACCAAACTCAAACTTTTGCCGCAGCGAAAAAAAGCCAGTAATCAAAATCTTACATTGAACAAAGAGGATTAAAGGGTTGGATCTCAAGGGAAACATTGGGATCCAACCCTTATTGCATTCGAGTTTCATATTAGGTTGGGTTTTGGACAAATCCATGTAACACTCGATTCCAGATAGAAAAGACGAAATTTAGCAAGTCCGATAGTGAAAATGATGGGAAGATCGTATTAATAGTCTTGTTAGTACCGATTGAGCGAATGGACATGTGATGTTCCAATTTACGATTAGACATAAATAATCGATATTTTCCAACACCAGCAGTGGATTCTTAGAGATTGCTTATACGTTATTTAGATTAAGCTAAAATTAGGAATCCACACGATTTTGACTTGTTTCAAGAACAGTTTAGACAATTAGTATTGATTGAAGATTATATAGAAAAAAAGAAATCTAGCTATTAAAGATTGACAGAATATATTTATTTGTGTAAGATTTTGAATGTTAATCGTAATAATTACGATTAAATATAAAACTGTTTATTTATTTAGGAGGAAAAAATGAATAAGAAACGCGTTTTTGTATTAGTTCTGCTATCAATGATTTTGATTTTGAGTGGTTGCTCCACATCTAAAGGTAATGATTTAAACGCGGCCAAATCAGATTCTTTAAAGGTAAAAGATCAAGTTATCGTAGCAGTAGGTGGAGAAAAGGAGTCTGGGTATGATCCAACGACAGGATGGGCTAGTCAAGGAGTAACCCTATTTCAGAGTAAACTACTTGATGTAAATGCTGAAAATGAACTTATTAATGATTTGGCCAAAGATTATTTTGTTAGTGATGATGGTCTTACATGGACATTTCATATTCGTGATGATGTGTTTTTCCACGATGGTGAGAAATTAACTGCAAAAGATGTTGCGTTTACATATAACAAGACGAAAGAAAAGGGCCTTTCAGTTATCGATTTGACACGATTGGACCAAGCGACAGCTGTTGATGACCAGACTGTTGTTTTTAAAATGATTTCTCCAATGTCTACTTTTATCTATGCAACAGCTTCACTGGGGATAGTCCCTGAACATGCGTACACAGATAACTATGGACAGCATCCTATTGGATCAGGGCCTTACAAGTTTGTACAGTGGGACAAGGGACAGCAACTCATTGTAGAGCGAAATGAAGAATACTACGGTGGAGTGCCTCCAATTAAACGAATCGTCTTGCTCTTTCTAAGTGATGATGCAGCATATGCAGCATTACAAGCAGGAGAGGTAGATGTTGCCAAAACTTCTGAGGAGTTAGCAGTTCGAGGTATGTCAGGTTATCGTTTAGTTAATGTCAAAACTTCTGACTTTCGCTCCATTGCTTTGCCTGTGCAACTACCAGGTGGAACAAGCGGTGATGGCTTACCAGTGGGTAATGCAATAACCAGCGACATAGCGATTCGTAAAGCGCTTGCTACTGGAATAAACAGACAAAGAATAATTGATGATGTACTCAATGGATATGGTGAGATTGCTTACACAATTTCTGAGAATTTACCATGGGCAATTGATGAGAGTTTATTTAAAGATGGCGATACTGAAACTGCAAAATTAATACTCGATAATGCAGGATGGATAGATTCTGATAATGATGGAATACGTGAAAAAGAAGGTAATAAGGCAGAGTTCACCTTAATTTATGCTGCCGGAGATTCTAACCGACAATCCATTGCTCTGGCATTCAGTGAACAAGCAAAGGAAATGGGAATCAATGTACTGACTGAAGGGTTAGCAAGTGCAGATAGAGAGCCTCGTAAACACAAGGATGCATTTCTTTTAGGTGGCGGTTCTTATAACCCAGACCCTTTATTTAGAGCATTGTATGGTCCATATGCAGCCAAAGGTGGATGGAATAATATTGTTGGTTACAAAAATGAAGCAGTAGATAAATATTTAGAAGCAGCAATCTCAGCTAAGACAGAACAAGAAGGGTATGAATACTGGCAGAAAGCACAGTGGGATGGAACTACAGGAGGAAGTATCTTGGGCGATGCACCGTATATCTATATAGCGAATATTAGTCATTTATACTTCGTAAAAGATGGTTTAAATATAGGTAATCAGAAAGTCCATCCTCATGACCATGGTTTTGCTTTATTAGGTAATATCATGGAATGGTCCTTAGGACAGTAAGGCTCTTTTTAGGATAGAAATGCTGCATGCCTAAAGGTTGCAGCATTTTTTCTGGGCGATGCTGATTGCAACTCAGAATAAAGAATAGAAGTTCTTTAATTAAGTCAGAGTTTTAAACTGATTTTGCTGGTAAAGGGAGGATATACATTGCATAGAACGCTCATTAAGCACATCGGTAGTAGTGTCTTACGTGCATTAACATTGCTATTTGCAGCTATAGTTATTACATTTTTACTTGCTGAAGCTTCTCCCATTGATCCAATAGACGCTTATGTAGGATCTGAAAGTGGGGTTAGTGAAGAGCAAAAGTTAGTTATAGCAGAGTATTGGGGGCTAAACGACCCTCCACTAATTCGATTAAAGAACTGGCTGTTAGCTCTTTTACATGGGGACATGGGTGTTTCACTATATTACCAACAACCTGTGTTAGATGTAATTAGCGAACGTTTTATGCTTTCGATTTCACTCATGGCCATTTCCTGGCTGTTGTCTGGCATTTTGGGTTTTACATTAGGCATCATAGCTGCAGCTTATCAAAACAAATGGATAGATAAAATTATAAAAAGAGGTTGCCTTCTATTATCATCAGCTCCAACGTTCTGGGTAGGTTTACTACTATTAATGATTTTTGCAGTGTGGTTGGGGATTTTACCTGTAGGACTTTCAGCTCCAATTGGTAGTTTAGCGAATGAAGTTAGTATTGGGGAAAAGATCAGACATCTTATATTACCTGCATTAACGTTATCCATAGTAGGTATTCCTACGTTAACGTTGCATACTAGACAAAAATTAATCCATGTACTGGGAAGTGAATACTGCCTTTTTGCCTCTGCACGAGGAGAAACCAAATGGGAAATCATTCGTAGACACGGCTTACGAAATATCCTACTACCCGCAATCACTATTCAGTTTGGTGCAATTAGTGAGTTATTTGGAGGCGCTGTGTTAGCTGAAAATGTATTTTCTTACACTGGCATTGGACAAGCAGCTGTGAAAGCTGGGACTCACGGAGATGTACCGTTATTATTAGGAATAACATTATTTAGTGCTCTCTTTGTTTTCGTTGGCAATCTGATTGCTAATATGCTTTATCCTGTGATAGATCCACAAATTAGGGAGGGACTTGGTCATGAAACTAATTAGAAGTGGTATATCACCTTTAAGTTTCAATAGACGTACTAGCATGGTAGTTGTTCTAGTAATAGCCAGTATTATTCTAATTGGCATCAGCTTAGCCGGTATTTTCATGAAAGAAAGCTCATATGCAACAAATTTCAGTGAGAAAAATCTAGCTCCTTCATTAACACATCTATTTGGAACCGATTGGATGGGGAGGGATATGTTTGCTAGGACGATTAAAGGGTTGTCTACAAGTATATTAATTGGGGCATTAGCTGCAGGAATAAGCTCCATTATTGCAGTGACTTTAGGAACTCTTGCTGCTACTGGAGGAAAACGAATTGACAGTATTATTTCATGGGTGATAGATCTAGTTCAGGGAATCCCACATTTGATCCTGCTGATCTTAATTTCATTTTACTGGGAAAAGGGGCACATGGAGTTCTTATAGGTATTGCAATAACACACTGGCCTCATTTAGCAAGGATTATAAGAGCAGAAGTAATGAGTATTCGGCATACTCATTATGTAGCTGTTGCAAGAAAAATGGGACAAGGAAATATAAAAATAGCATTTAAACATATTCTACCTCACGTCATACCACAGTATATTGTCGGGTTAATTTTATTATTTCCCCATGCAATTCTACATGAAGCTTCTATTACTTTCCTAGGTTTTGGATTATCTCCTGAACAACCTGCTGTAGGCGTAATATTGTCGGAATCTATGAAATATTTGACTTCAGGAATGTGGTGGTTAACGATACTTCCGGGGGCAGCTTTGTTGCTAATTGTCTATTTATTTGATGCTATTGGAGAACGGCTACGGATGATTTTTGATCCTTATAATGCACAAGATTAGGAGGAGGAAACATTGGCGACTACAGATAAAAAATCCGCACCACTATTAGAAGTAGAGAACCTCTCAGTTAGTTTTCGTATGTATGATCGTGGATTAAAGCAGAAAAATATTGAGGTGATTTCAAACTTAAATTTACAGATTAATACAGGAGAAATATTAGCAATCATAGGTTCTTCGGGTAGCGGCAAAAGTTTGTTAGCGCATGCTGTATTAGGGATACTGCCAACAAATAGTACGGTTACAGGTCTGATGCGATTTGATGGCCAAGAGTTAACTCCATCTTTGCAAAAAAAGATACGAGGAAAAGCTATGACTTTAGTGCCACAGTCTGTAGCTTTCTTAAACCCACTAATGAAGTTGGGAAAACAGGTGCAGGGTAAGTATGGTACCAGGGAGCAACAACAAAAGGTTTTTCGTAGATTTGATCTAGATGAAACCGCAAGTGAGAAATATCCGTTTCAACTCTCAGGTGGCATGGCAAGACGTGCGTTAGTTTCTACGGCAGTGATCAGCAGTGCGAAACTCATCATAGCTGATGAACCGACTCCTGGATTAAGCCCAGAATCGGCACAGGAAACCATGGATGTTTTTAGAGAACTTGCTGATGAAGGACGTGGAGTTATTATTATTACACATGATATTGATTTGGCATTTCGTGTAGCTGATAACGTAGCCGTTCTATATAACGGCACTACGGTTGAACTAACTGCTTCAAAGAATTTTCTTGCAGGGGGAGCGGGTCTAAAGCATCCCTATAGTCTGGCTCTGTGGGAGGCTTTGCCGCAAAATAAATTTAACGCGATTACCTCGAAGAGCTAAAAATATTACCTCTAAAGGAGACACCTAAGATTAAGGAGGATTGAGATATGCAACTGGAAATTCAAAAAGTAGGTTTTCATTATAAGAGAGGACCAAAAATTCTGAATAGTATAAGTTTTTCTGTAGATGTAGGGGAGAGAGTAGGGATTGTAGGGCCTTCAGGATATGGTAAAAGTACTTTGTCCAAGATACTTGCTGGTTATCTTCGACCTACTGAAGGCAATATTCTTTTTAATGGAGATGTTCTTCCACAAACGGGATATCATCCAATACAACTAATTTATCAACATCCAGAAAAATCTATAAATCCTCGATGGAAGATTAAAGACATTCTATTTGAATCATGGAGTCCTAGTCAATATTTTCTAAAAGATATGGGAATCGAAGAAAATTGGCTTGATCGTTGGCCTAATGAATTAAGTGGAGGTCAACTACAAAGAGTTTGTATTGCAAGAGCGCTAGGTCCACAAACCAAATTCATAATTGCTGATGAGATGACAACTATGTTTGATGCAGTTACTCAGGCTCAGATTTGGGAAGTAATGATGAAAGTTATCAAGGAACGTAACATGAGTATGATTGTAATTACGCATAATGAATTTCTTGCTCAACGATTGTGTACAAAAATTATTGAGTTGCCAAGTATAAATAAGATTTAAATTTTCGAGGTGTCCTTTGAATTTTTGAACAGTGAATAATTCTAAGGAAAGCTAATGATAATGCCATGTATCAGTAAAATATTCTAAGAACATAAGGCCGTGGACGAACGGTCTTATGTTCTTTTGTCGTAAAAATGTTAGGGGAACCTTCCACCTGTAGAGGGACAAGAACATTCTCCCATTTAAATTGTTATAGCGACTAAGATTCTTTATCTGTTTTTATTAAACTAACGAGAAGGTTACTTTTAATTCACTTCACGAATATCCTTAAATATGGCAAGTTCGCGAAGTTAGTAAAGAAGGTATTACATGTAATCAAAGTAACTCACATAAACCTAATTTAAAGAATTATATAATAGACTACTTCAGGGCACCTGGAAAGATAAAGAAAGCTTTGGACCAAAGGGTTGAAAAATTTATTTCAGAGATTCCTGACAGCTGGGTTAGGATCGATGCGGTAGGATTGAGAATTGCTGTCAACTGTTTGTTTGACATATATCAGGCTCCTTGTTTGTTGTAGAAAACGAGACTGAGAGCAGCGGATGTACTTAGTATTAATACTGTTGATGATGATATTCTATTGATCTTACGGATTGAAAAAAGGAATGATGGGTCCATTTACGAGTTCGATAATTGTTTGTAGGATAGTGGATTTAAGTATACTAACTCTCAGACAAAAGCTGTAACAGGTATGAACTCATTGTTCGTTATTAAGCAATGGTATGGATCAATTATTTTTATCAAAATAAGTATTTAAAGCTCGCTTGAATAACACAGACTTATTGACAAAAAGAGAACAACGAAGCCTTACGCACCACTGCTTGGTAATATTGCTGAACCTTTGTTTGTAATTGTGGATACGAGTGCAGATACATCCCAATTCAAGAGCGAACCTATCGCCACAGGTCCATTTATGGTAACAGGCTACACCCCGGATCAGGAGATTCAGGTGAAGAAGTATGACGGATACTGGGACGGGGCAGCCGATGTGGATACCATTACATTCAAATACATCAAGGATGACAGCACGCGTGCCCTTGCGCTGCAATCGGGTGAGATCGATGTAGCCAGCAACGTGGGACGAAGCAGCTTGGCATTGTTCCAGGATCAGAGTCAATATACGATTGATGAAATCCCGAGCCTGCGTACACAGTTTGTATGGTTTAATCCGACGTACCCGTTTCTAAACCCGAGGCCGAAAGTACGGCGTGCAATCTCGTACGGCATAGACCGTGAGATGTATGCAAACACACTGGTGGGCGGTCAGGCGGCCAAAGGACCGTTTACCTCGGCTCTGCCTTTTGGCTATGATCAGGTCAAGGGATATGGCTATGAACCGGAGACAGCCAAGAAGCTGTTGGATGAGGCTGGCTACAAGGATGCGGATGGGGACGATATTCGGGAAAAAGACGGACGAAAGCTAACGCTCCAATTGATTCTCAATTCGGCTTACGAATCGGACTCCATTGTGGCTGCTGCAATGCAGTCCCAACTCAAGGAGATTGGGGTTAACCTGGAAATGACCTCTTACGAGGTTCCCAACTGGTCATCAAAAAGTGGCGGTTATGCTATGTCTGCCTCTGGCCAGCTTAATATGCAGGGATTACCGGAGACCCCCAGTATATTCTCGACTTTTATTTCAAAACGGGAGCAGAGTGGAACATCGGTGGATATAGCAATCCGAAGTTGGATGCGGTGATTCAGCAGCTGCATTCCGAATTCGATGTGGAGAAAAGATATGAACTGGCTGCAGAAGCCCAGCAGATAATTCTGGATGATGCGGCATACATGTTTATTACCTACACTCCAATTAACATTGTAAGCAAGAGCGCCGTACAGGGTGCGACGATGTATCCGATCGACTTTTATCTCCTGGATCGCAATATCCAGGTTAGGCAATAATGAGCGCTTTACTGGGTGTAGATCGACTTTCTGTAACGTATAGGGGTGGTTCTCACCCGCACTGCCGACATTCATCGTTTTGCAATGAATGCCGGTAAAGATTATCGGAATCGTGGGCGAGAGCGGAAGTGGTAAATCGACGTTGCTTCGAGCTTTGCTCGGTATGCTGCCAGACGGTGGGCAGTATGGCGGGGGAGACATTGTCTTTCAGGAGAAATCGATATTTAGTTATTCGCAGAAGGATTGGGGCCGCATACGCGGCAAGCGGATGGCCATGGTTTTTCAGGATAGTGGTTTCTTCCTTGAACCCCATCCGCCCAATAGGAAGTCAGTACATCGAGGCGATCCGTACACACGTTAAACTATCGAAGAAAGCTGCCTATGCCATGGCGGTGGACATGCTCTCACAGATGGGACTGGATGACCCCGAGCGGATGATGAGTATGTACCCCGTCCAGCTTAGTGGAGGCATGAAGCAGCGAACGGCAATTGCCATGGCGGTAACGATGGAGCCAGAACTGCTGCTTGCCGATGAACCGACCAGTGCGCTGGATGTAACCACTCAGGTTGAAGTGATCAAACGATTGACCAACCTTCGGGCAAGTCAGGGAACAGGGATGATCATTGTGACGCACAATATCGCCGTTGCAGCCCATATGGCAGACTACATCGGTGTAATGCAGAACGGGTCGCTGGTTGAGTTTGGACAATCTTCAAGCATTATTACAGGTCCACGTCATGCATATACCCGTGAATTGCTAGCTGCAGTACCTGAATTGGAGGGGAATATGGATGATAGATGAGAGGATACCCGTTCTGGAAATGAGGAATTTAAAAGTAAAACCTACGAATCCAGGGGCCAAGGAGCACATTCAGCATTGCAATCGATCAATCTGAAGCTGTATCCGGGAGGTGTCTCGGGAATTGTAGGTGAGCGGAAGTGGCAGAGTACTTTGGCTAAATACGTGACTCACCTGGAAAAGGCAACCTCCGGGCAGATTATCTATCGTCAGCAGGATATTACTCCGGTAAGGGGAGAGGCTTTGCGGCTGCAGCGCAAGCAGATTTAGATGGTTTTTCAGGAACCTGCGGCGATTTTCAATCCCCGCATGAGGGTGGGATCATTTATCCTTGAGCCTTTAGTGAACTATAGACTGATCAACGCATGCAGGGTGAAAAGGAAATTCATCGTTTGCTGGAACTGGTGGGGCTGCCTGCTGCCATTGCGGACAAGTATCCACATGAAATCAGCGGTGGGGAGCAGCAGCGAGTGGTTAGTGCCCGGGCGATCGGAGTGCAGCCGGATGTAATTATATTTGATGAGGCTACCTCGGCACTCGATGTTTCCATTCAGCAGCAAATTTTGCACCTGTTGGTCCGAGTGCGTAAGGAGATGGGGATTTCATATATCTTCATATCGCATGACCTGGCCGTGGTGCAGCAGGTTCGCCGAGTCGCACTGCGGTTATGTACAAGGGAGAGATCGTTGAAGTGTTGGAAAGTGCGCAGCTGAATCGTGCAGCTAGTCATCCCTATACGCGGAACCTGATGGATTCGGTGTTGTCGGTGAGAGAGATCAAGAATAAGATGCGAGAGTATGCCCTGCAAGGAATTACGGGTTAAGTTGGTGCGGGTGCATTGTGGTGCTACATAAATAAGTGAAGTTAAAGGGATTATTTCAGGGCATGGTGGTGATGGCCTGGAATAATCCTTTTTTTACTATATTCAAATCTGTCTCAAAGTTAATTAAGATAAGACTGCTGACCTCTCTTTTAAAGATTATTAAGAACTCAGTTTATTGAACTTGTTAAAAATGCTAAATGCTCCATCAGTAAACACGAGTATATTTTCTTATTAAAAAGAGTGACATAATGATTCAATAGAGTTATTATAGATATAGTAAGTCTGTTAATGGAGGGATCACAATGAAGTATTCTAAAGCTACAGATTATGCGCTGCACACGATTTTATTTCTCGCGGCATCTAGGTCGGAAACTCCGACAGGAGTCCAACAACTTGCAATATGGCAAAACATTTCACCTACATATCTGTCAAAGATATTAACAAAGTTAAGTAAGGCAGATATGATTTATTCTGTTTCTGGTGCAAACGGGGGTTATAAGTTAAGAGATAATTGGGATGAATTAACGTTTTTTGATGTCATAGAGGCTATTGAAGGGAAAAATTCAATATTTGATTGTTGTCAGGGTCAAAGAAAAGGATGCTTGATACTGGAGACGATGGAAATTGCTGAACAAAAAATGGATATTGTGTTGAAAAGTCAAAAAATTTCTTCATTAGCTGAGAAGATATCAATGTATAAATAAAATTTTTTACAAAAATTACAGATATAATAGGTCTGTAATAGTCACGAATAATCTAATTAACATAAAATTTAATTAATAGGAGTAAAGAGATGAAGTCTTTCGTTATATACTTATTGGCATTGGGAGCATTTGTTGTAGGGACAGTAGAAGTTGTAGTTTCCGGAGTGTTAGACATTATTGCTCGAGATTTACAAGTTTCGATTTCAATCGCAGGGCAATTGGTCACAGTATATGCATTATTCCATGCATTAGGCGCATGGATACTAGTGGGCTTGACCTCCAAAATACAGCGTAAAAAGGTGATTTTGTATTCAATGGTAGCCTTTATTGTAGGTAACATTATTGCTTTTTTGAGCCTTAGTTTTGGTATGCTTGTGTTTTCCCGCTTGGTTTTGGCCATGAGTGGGGGACTATATTTTGTCGTAGCAACAAATTATTCAGCAAAATTAGCCTCTCCAGGTAGGCAGGGGAGTGCCATTGCAACAGTCATCACAGGATTTACCCTTGCATTAGTAGTTGGTGTCCCTCTTGGAACCCTTATTGCTGCATATATGGATTGGCACAATGTGTTTATCATTATTGCAGGTATTGCATTTCTTAATTTAATTCTATTGTACAAATTTATCCCCAACATGGAGGGGAGCGCGGCTCTCTCGTTGAAGCAACAATTCCTAATTATCAGAGATAGTAAAGTAATTACAGGATTATTGACGACTGTCTTCTGGATTCTAGGGTACACTATGGTATTTGCATATATTGCTCCCATCTTAAGCTCAATTGCACATTTTTCAGTTGAGATGGTAAGCACATCACTGCTTATTTTGGGTATATTTGCATTCATTGGTTCTCGCGTTGGAGGGTATGCGGTCGATCGATGGGGGCCTCTCCGAATAATTCCAATCAGTTTAATTGTTCATTCTGCAGCTCTATTTATTCTTCCGATATCTGCTGGGTCAACAACAGGGATCTTTCTAACACTCATGGTTTGGGGAACAGCTGCCTGGATAACAACTCCTGCAAATCAATTTTATCTAATCACATTGAAGCCCAAATCCTCAGAGATAGTTCTTAGTTACAATACCGCAGTCATGAATTTAGGCATGACTCTTGGTGCCTGGATTAGGGGAGGTCTATTGTTAGATATTCATCTCTTCGCAATTTGGGTTGGATTAGTGCTGTTATATTAGTACTGGCTTTTGTCATTGCTATTATTTCATTCTTATTAAAGCCAAGCCAACATCCAACTCTTGAAAAATAATAAGAAGTTCATTCTCTTATATTGTCTATAAATTGAACTTGTATGGATAGATCGATACAAATTATTCAAAAGACCTGGTTCATTTTTCTTGGCAAAATATATAAACGCCTTTGCAGCTGATAGCTACAAGGCGTTTTTTATTTTACCAAAGAGTCTTAAATTGATATCCATTAATGATAATTACGGATGTGACTGCTATATAGACCGAAGCATTGTTTTTTTGAATAGATCAAAAAATAACACCTGCATTTCGGCTGTTTTTTCGGTAAACATGAGGAAGCATTCCATGATACTTTTTAAATACAGCACTAAAATTTCCTGCCTTATTATAACCGACCCTATGCGCAATCTGCCCAATTTCGGTATTATCCTCCTTTAAAAGCAATCGTGCATACGACATACGTTTGACTAAAATAAAGGCTGAAACGGTGTGGCCTGTACTTAGCTTAAAAATTTGTTTGAATTTAGTAGGGGCTCATTACAGCTGCGCGAGCAAGTGTATCTATTCGCAGACTTGGGTCAGTAAAACGTTCGTCTATAACAGATAAGGCTGCAGATATTCCATATTGGTCTTCTTTTGAAAGAATGCGTTTTTCTGATTCTATTTTTTTTAGATTCTTGTTTGGGGAGTACTCTGCGAGTATAAAATTGCTTGTACAACAGTGCTTTCGTAAAAACATGAGCTGCTAAGCCAGTAGACTGGTAGTGTTTCATCTTGAGAAGTAAAGATGTTAATTCTGGAATATCAAGCGGTCCCTCGATACTCTCTAGTAAATTTCTCAGTGCATGATAATCATCCGGATACTGGTTACGCAGACGAGATTCGTAATAACCAGGCAAAAGTATTATTGAAGTAGAGCGAAAAGGTATATTGGCATAGATTGTACTTTGATAACGTGAAGATGAAGCTTTGTAGCCACGTAAAACAGAACTAGAAACTATAACCTGTGATTCCTGGCGCTCTTCGTATGCGGATTCATAATAAGATAAACTTAGAAATTTGAACTGAGGATAATCTATATACATATCTTTCAATAAAAGAAGGTCAATTACGGAAATCCAAAATTGATCACCAAAGGGAATTAAACGGTAAAAACCATAACCGAATTCTGGATTTAAATTAAATAACAATTCATTGTGCTGATTACTCTTGTTCGTGAGAAAAGGAGTGAAACCATAATTTTCAAAATAAGGCGTTAAAAGTGAATGTTTAATTGTACTCAAAATATCATCAGTCCTTTAGTAAAATGCCCAATTTAGACAATATCATGCCGTAATTGGACAAATGATAATCATAATCATTGTAATCTATTACTTCTCTTTATTATAGTAATTATTACGATTACGAACAATATTGAAGATTTGTTTAAGGAGAATAGCCAAAAACGATTCTTAAGTGTGTTGTTGGTAGGATTACTTTATTTTCTCAGGAGGAATAAGATTAATGAAAAGTTCAAACGTAAATAGGGCCAGTGCAACGAAAAATGGAAGTTATCGGATGCCGTTAGTGCCGCTATTTTCAATATCGTTCATATTATTATTTTGTTTGTCGTCACAATGGTAGTATCCATGCTGTTTACCCCAGCAATTTCATATCTAGCAGGAGCGGGGATTATTGCAATGCTTGCAGGTCCTGTATATCTGACAATGGCAGGTCGGATCGGCAAACCTGGGGTCTTTTTTATGATGGCAGTGATTTATGCACTCGTCTTTTTTTAGCGATGGGCCAGACATATATGTTATCCATGATTCTGTTTGGCGTGATTGCAGAACTAGTTATGATTGGATCTAACGCATATCGCTCTTGGAATCGCAATGTGCTAGGTTATGCGGTGTTTTATGCTGGTTACTCACTCTGCGGGGTATTGCCACTGGTTTTTTTTAGAGAAAAACAAATCTCTATTCTCTCGGAAACCTACAGTCCAGAAGCGCTAAATTCAATGATGTATTATTATGGAACACCGAGCATGGTTCTGCTGATGATAGTCATTACGTTGGTTGGATCAATTCTGGGATGCGTGATAGGCAGAGGTTTCCTAGAACGTCATATCAAGAAAGCTAAACTCATTTGATTTACGTGGGAGGTCAAAGAGTGATTTCGTTTATTCAAAAATTAGACCCGCGTACCTACCTCGTCTTTCTACTACTGATGAGCATTTTTTTAATGCTTACTACAAACGAAACACAGGTAGTTGCACTTACACTACTTGGTGCGATCGTGCTGGCATCTTCTGGCTACCCGATAAAATCTTTGCTATATGTTTTACTGTATGTACTGTTAGCTGGTTTGGGGCAATTACTGGAGCATTCTGGATTTGGCACTTTCGTAGTGATTTTTGATACATTTAGTCAAATGGTACCTTTAGCGATGATTGCAGCTGCCCTGATGAGCAAACCAGCCAGTGCTGTGCTTGCTGCGTTCGAGAGATTGCGTTTACCGAAGAACTTGATTGTAATCATTTGTGTACTACTTCGTTTTTTCCCCGTGCTGCTTAAGGAAATGTCATCAATAATTGAAGGCATGGCTGCAAGGAATGTATTTGGTAGCGCATATAGGGCCTTAGTTAAGCCCCGCTTAGCTTATGAATGTTTTCTTGTTCCGCTTCTTGTTCGTTGCCTGAAACTATCTTCTGAGCTTTCAGCTTCTGCAGTCCTAAGAGGGATCGAAAGCGGAAATCGCAGAACTAGCATATTCTCTTTCGGACTAGGTGGAAGGGATATTGTCGCGGTTTTTCTCTTCAGCGGAGTAGCTATTGCGATGAAATCCTGGATCTAAAGAAAGGAAGTACGGAAAATGATTAAATTGAACAACGCAAGTTTTACTTATGCAGGCGAGTGGGAGGAAGAAAACCAACGACCTCCAAGCGTATCCGGAATTACGTTTTCGGTGCGGCCAGGAGAATGCGTGGTGCTTTGCGGGAGATCAGGTAGCGGAAAGAGTACTGTGCTACGAATGATCAATGGTCTTGCTCCACAATTTTACCCGGGGGTACTAACAGGTGAAATCACGATTGGAGGTACTAATCCGGCTTTATTATCGTCTGAAGAACGAGCAACAGCAATCGGGTCAGTCTTTCAAGACCCTCGGAGCCAGTTCTTTATGTCGGTTGTGCGGGATGAACTGGCATTTCTGGGAGAAAACCTTGGTATGAGACCCTTGGAAATTCGAGAATTGATTGAAACTGCAGCCAGTCAAATCGGCATTTCAGAGTTACTTGATCGACCACTAGATAAATTGTCTAGTGGGCAGAAGCAAAAGGTGGCAATTGCGGCTGCATCAGTTTTAAATCCTAAGGTGCTGATTCTGGACGAGCCAAGTGCTAATCTAGATGAGGCATCTACTCAGGAATTAACAAACCTACTGAATCAATTCAAAAAGAGAGGTATGGCAATCGTAGTTAGTGAACATAGGCTTCACGCTTTTGCTGCTACTGCTGATCGCTACGTCCTTATCGAACAGGGAAGACAGACAGATGTATGGACTAAAGAAGAATTTTTGAAGTTAGATGTCAAGAGGGCTCGCGCTTATGGATTAAGGCATCCTGATTTGTTCCTTGATTCAAGCAATGATGAAAACCAATCTGATTCTGAAGATAATAAAAAAAGTCCTGGGTGGAAAGGTAGAAATGTGACATATATTTATAAGAGAACGGGTGTTGGTATACGCTCGATAGACTTTACGCCTTCGCCAGGAAAAGTAACTGCTGTGATTGGGGAGAATGGGGCAGGAAAAACCACTCTATGTAAAGTGTTCTGTGGCCTTAAGCGCCAGAAATCAGGTGCCATCGTATACAATGAAGGAAAAGATCTTTCCCCTGCTCGTCGGAGAACTCTTAGTTACTTAGTGATGCAAGATGCTGATTATCAATTGTATACAGATAGCGTAGCAGCGGAAGTGATGCTGGGACGCATACCAAGTGAAGAAATCAAAAAACGTGCTCGGGATGCATTGGATTCATTTGGCTTGACTCAATACAGTGATCGCCATCCAGCATCGTTGTCGGGTGGGCAAAAGCAGCGGGTCACGCTTGCTGCGGCTTATTGTGCCGACGTACCACTTGTCATATTAGATGAGCCGACAAGCGGCCTTGACGGAGATGGAGTTCTCACCGTTGCAAATTGGACCCGGCAGCTAGCTGCCCAAGGGAAAACCGTTCTCATCATTTTACACGACTCTTTACTGGTTGATTTGGCCTGTGACGAGTCAGTTGAACTCTCTAAGCATGGCGGAATTATCCAAAAAAAAATACGCAGATTATCAAAAAGGTCTATAAGGGAAGAAGAAAGGAGTTGTCAGTCATTTGAATCTGAAAATGGATAAGAAATCAAAACAAGGCGTTTTTAGGCTAATTGAATTGGCGGGCGAAAAGGAAGGGCTGCTGATATGGGCAACCCTTTTTTCTTCGCTCAGCGTGCTTTTGTCTTTGCTGCCGTACCTGTCTGTCTATTATGTGCTCGTGTATTTGTTGGAGAATGCAGCTTCGGTTACTTCAGATTTAAATAAAGCCCAGTTGATCCGATATGCTTTTATGGGTCTTGGCGGTCTAGTACTCGGGCTCGCTTCAATGTACATCGGCGGAATGTGTTCGCACGTCGCAGCTTTTCGTATCCTGTATGGCATTCGCATGCGATTGACCGAACATATCGCTAAATTACCGCTAGGTTATTTCAGTCATTAATTCTGCAGGGCGAATTAAAAAAGTCGTTGAACATGATGTTGAAAAAATCGAAAAATTTATCGCTCATCAGCTTCCGGATCTCATCAATGCGGCTGTGATGTTAATAGTTATAGCCATTGCGATGTTGAGTCTAAATCTGTGGATGGCGGTTGCTGCAGTGGGGCCGGTTATAGTCGGTATGATCGCTCAGTATAGGATGTTATCGGGAACCAAGGGGCAAGAAAATCTGCGTTTGTATTTCGATGCTTTGGAAAACATCAATACGTCTGCCATTCGGTATGTTCACGGGATGTCTTCCATTAAAGTATTCGGACAGACTGTTCGTTCATTTCGTAAGTTTTATCGTATTATGGGAAGACTACAGAGATTTCAGTCTGAAGTATACTGATCGCTTTCAACATGGTTATGTCACATACAGAGTAATACTTCTGTCACTAGCTTCTTTTATTTTTCCGATTGGGGTGCTGCTCCTTAGTGAAGAGCCTAATAATATTGCTCTTTCTGCAGTCCTTATTTTCTTCCTTGTGCTCTCACCGGGAGCAGCAGTGCCGATGTTTCGCTTAAGTTCGCTAGCTTCAACGCTTGGCATGATTACAGAGTCGACTCGTCGTGTCGATGAAATGTTGTCAGAGTTGCCGATCTCTGAATCAGAAAACCCTAAACTTCCTTGTGATCACAACATTGTCTTCCAACAAAAGTTGGGTTTTCTTATATTACAGGGGGTGGAACAGATTCAAGCCTTATCTGGTGTTTTTCTTTCAAAGCTAAACAAAACGAAATCACTGCTCTTGTGGGACCATCTGGGTCAGGGAAATCTACGATTGCCCAATTATTTCCACGTTTCCAGGATGTGGAAGAAGGCACTATTTTAATTGGAAGTGTAAATGTGAAGGAAATCGAAACAAAAAAACTGATGGATGTTGTCTCTTTTGTATTCCAGGACAATTTTTTGTTCTTCGATACCATTTACGCGAACATCGCAATAGGAAATCCGGAAGCTTCAAAAGAGGAAGTATACGCTGCAGCTGAAGCTGCACAGTGTAAAGAGTTTATTGATCGACTTCCATATGGTTATGATACGCGAATTGGTGAAGGTGGCATTTATTTATCAGGGGGGGAAGAACAGCGGCTGTCAGTAGCTCGTGCTTTGCTCAAAAATGCACCTATCTTAGTACTTGATGAAGCTACCGCTTTCGCTGATCCTGAAAACGAGTATAAGATGCAAATAGCTATGCAAGAGTTGATTCATTGGGAAAACAGTGATTATGATTGCCCATCGGCTATCGACGATTCGTCACGCACATAACATCGTCGTTATGAACAAAGGAAGTGTTGAAGAATCAGGATCCCATAATGATCTGTTGCGTACTGGAGGCTTATATAGCCGTTTGTGGGAAAACTTATACTAATGCATCTGAATGGAGAATTGGAAATGAAGAAGGA